GGAGATCTAGGGCGAACTTTGCCCTTTGTGAGCCCAAGCACATGGCCACCATGGAAACAGAGAATAGACGGATTTAAAAAAAATACATGTTTAAAATCGAGTAGAGGAAAGACAAGAGAGGGATAAAGCAGAATGGGTAGAAAGTAGACGAATAGTAAGAAGGAGAGAAAATGATTTGAAGACATAACAGATGAGGCAAGGAAAGGAAACTAAAAAAGGACATGAAAAGAGAGGAAGGGATATAAAAGGATAGGACACAAACAGGAAGAAGTAAAAAGGGACGTAGAAAAAAAGGAAAAGAATGATCGAGACTAATAAATTAGAAGCCATTCACACAGATCTAAAGAGACCTCTGTGTGTGTCCTGTGCAATGTGTGTTAGAGCATGTGTGCGCCGTTGTGCGAGCGTCAGTCATTGTGTGTGTGGCGGTGGGAGCGGGGCAGCCCTGAGTGTGGCTGGAGATTAATGGGGGCCATTATCTCAATGCCCAAAACACTCAGTGATGAAGAGTCACTGCCTGGCTACAGGCCTCGGCCAATCAATTTGCGGCGCAGCGGTCACCTGCCCGGGTCAGAACCCACATACGGGCGCTGTTCGTGCTGTTGTTGTGGCGATGGTTGGGGGGGAAATGGCAAATTGCCACCACATTATGGTGAAACAGTAAATTGAATCTATTTAGGCGCTGTCTTGAGGTATTCACTGGTTCCATTGTGCAATAGTCCTTAGCTATAGGAGACATTTCAGAAGTAGGTATATCCCTTTTTGTGTCAAACATTATCAATTTTATCAATTATCATTATTATTCAATTACATATCCTGAATGAATTGTGTTGACATTCTTTAATTTACTTTGGGATATACTGTGTGGTCAAGATTAGAAGGTTTACCATGTCTCGCTACTGAAGAGTGCAATTATTAGCAGCAAAGTAATGATGTTGACATTCACAATATAATGGAGAGCAAAGATCATGACAAAGAGACAGTTTCAGTGTATGGAATTGCTGAGTCTTTCTTCTACTTGTTTGATTTCCCCCCTCACCGTTAAGAGATATTCAGGGGTACTGAGAACATAACTGTGATAACAAAAGCATCCCAAGCTGAAAACCATGCTATAATAAATGCTTCTCCTCCATGTTGCCATTGTCATGCTAAGCTAACTGTTTTTCTGGCTAGAGCTTCATATTGAACAGCGGATATGATATGATGATATTGCACTTGAGACTTTACCAACATTTCCATTAAGTTAATAACCCAATAATTATACTCCTGGCACTCTTAATATAAGGAATACAATAAGGTGCTTTTGATGAATGTATCAACTGTATCCTATGGCCCCTCTATATCCCTCTCTATGTTATTTACTCCTCTTCCTCCCTTCCTGTATTCTGCCCTCTATCTTAACAATACCCTTTTCAAAGCTAACTGAAGTCCAAGGGGAAATTGTTCTACCCTTTCCTAGAAAATGGTGTGCCTTTCCGAAGGATGCTGTTTCTCCTGGAGGACAGGTTCCCCATCATTACCTTGAGAGTGCAAAGATCACTCAGGGAAGAGGTCTCGGAGTTATTTATTCTCCTCACATGCTCAAACACACTTCGGCATGGGCTCAAATACACACAAAGAAGCACAAATGAATGGAAAGAAACATTCATGCTCATGGACACGACGCAGAGAATGTCTGTCTTTTTCTGCCTTGAAAAATATCTCGGGGGCTTTGTGATTGAGGACCTGTGGGGTGGATCCAAGAGCAAACACGCTACCTGGCATTAACATCAACTCCATGACATGCTGTTAAATAGACTCCCTGCTGCAACTGGGAACACACACCTGTATCAGCAAGAGGGGAATGTGATTGACTCGATTTGATCCATGAGCAGTTTGATGTGGTTTAGCTTCGTTTTTAGCCATGCTAGCATCATGTCTTAAGGGAGAATGAGAGCACTTGGGTGACTCCAGATGAACACATCTCAACATCTATTGGATGGATTGCTATGGGATTTTGTGAATACATTAAATGTCTAGTCTACTCTCTTCCCCTGACTCTAGAATTATTGCAATAGCCAATGTTAACCATTTTATAATTGTAAAATATAATAATGATGAAAAATGTTTAACTTTTTTCTGCCGTTTACAATAAAAACGCTTAAAACCGTAGACTGCCACAACAGAAGTGGAAGCAACCTGCCAATCACAAGGTAACCCACTCTAAAGCATACACTACTTGATCTTTTTTACTCTAAATGGCACAATGATTAACCTGTTAAGCCCCGAGCCTGTTTATCAGGTTTCAGGCTCGAAAATGACATGCCCAAAACAAATGACTACAACTTCACTTCTAAAAGGGTTATATGAATAATTTATTTTATCAAAGCAAGGTTACATCTTTGAGTTGGATGTAGAAGTGTCAGAATCAATATAGATTTTTCTCAGTCAGAGTAAATTCAGATGGAATATAGTAAAAAAATGTAAATTCTTACCTCCGCCTAAAGAAAAAACATTACTTATAGTGAAAACCACCCTTGAATGATGGGATGGTAGACTAAAAGCTTTAGGAATCCAAACTATAACATATAATAAGTACCCTGTATCAAGATTGAGGCAAAACAAGTTCAATTTGACCTTTTTAGAGAGGTTTAGCAAAAAAAAGTTCCAGGCGGAATAAGCTTTCGGCACATTTGGGTACATCTGGTTCCATCAGTGCCATTTGACCTTTTTCAGGTACCAGACTATAAAAATGATGTATTACATTGAATTATCACCATAGGTATTCATTCCATTCAAAAAAAAAAAATAAAAAAAAAAAAAAAAAAAAAAAGGTTTTTTCTTAACAGGTTAATAAATAAACATCGTGCTGTATTGAGGAAGACTTGAAACCATTAACTTGTTAGGAACATGTTCACTGAGGTAATAACTCAAGTGAGAAGTAGGGTCATGATTTCATAGATTTCTATCAATTTAAAATTCTCTTCGGATATCAAAATAGCTAGAGACCATTTGATGTGTCTCCATCCACAAGCCATTATTGACAGAAATGCAAGCAATAATGGAAAGGATAGGTAATTCAGAGGAAAGTAGGAACCCAAGAAACCATATTGATTGGACCAAATTGATTCACAATTCCACTCGATAAAAAACAATTATCGGACTATGATTTCCAATAAACCAGTCAAGCACCATCATGCACACTCTACATCAACACACAACAAGAAATGACAGTTATTGTGAAATAATACACAATTGCATGTAGTGTGTGTTTTGAAGAGAGTTGTGAATGATCTCCTCTCTGGCTCTTCCTCCCATCTAGAAGACACTTCCCCCCTCGCCGCTACAGGTGAAATCGAATCCAATTACGGCAATAAGTACCTGCTTAAGTAACCTGCTGCTCCGGCTCTTGGGAATCATCCATCATGGGGGAATTAAGGGTTAAGACCTCCCACACTAACCCACAACCCGGTGAGACCAGAGCTCTCATCCCAAACTCAGATAGATGAAACAAGCGTGTGGACTGAAGAGAATATTGCCTTTAACGATGACCAATATGAATCAACTCCAAAGGCCTGACAGACAGGGGAGTCCTTTGGAAAGAGGAAATGATATGAACAATGGCAAAGCGGTTCACTTATGAACATGTCATTTATGATTTTACAGTTTCTTTTATGGCATCACCCTAAGATATATGCCTCCTTAGAAATAAAGTAATATAAAAAACGGTTTGTTTGATGAAAAAAGGCCCAATGTATATATAATAATATCCAAATAAACATTTCCCAACACACGTCAACTTCCCTTTCTTTGACAATTATACATGTATATTTTTGCGGGGGAAAACAATGGCTGATTTCCATTTGATTTGTCACTTCAGGTACTATGATCACACTCTTTCATTTCAGTTAGCTATGTGTACGTATAAAAGACACACGTCACTCTGCATCTTCTCTGTAATTTCAGCTACTCCAACACTGGCACTATCCCTGAATTGTTAATAGGATTTTTTACCATTAATCTTTAATTGCAATTGCTCATTTTGTGTTGAATTTTGGCCTGCGGTTAAGCAACACAGATGCTCTGTCAGTAGACAAAGAGCATTTGGCTTGACCAGTGGAATATTTGTATTATACAAGCACTTCATGGAGGCACAGGAAACTTAAGTGGATAGAACCACACATCTTCATTATACAACTGGCACATTTGGAGAGCACAAAATCCACTGGCAGAATATAAACAGTTGTTTGTCTTGTCAGAGCTGATGTTGGGGGAGGCTTCTGTATCACAGCAGATGTCTGCCTGCCCAGCATGTAATAGCAGCCTAGCACCCTACTGCCATCCCAGAGTTATAACTTCAAATCTCACCCAATAGTCACACTACCAAGCTGCATCGACTTCATTTGCAAACAAATGCTCCGTAGCTAAGCAAAGGTACACACAGTATTTCAAGCCTTACTGCTGTCTCGGAGAATGGGCTTTTAATTTGTCAATTTCTTGCCCTGTCACTCATTCCCTGAAGGAATAATGCGTGTTGATGTGCTTATAAAATGGAGTTCAAGGCTTGTCTGCTGCTTTACGATTGTCAGCGGCCTATCAAGTCATTGTGAAGGGTTGTGGAAATGATCAGCGTGTCAAATAATGATGATAATAAGGGGCGAACTGGAAAGAGATTAAAAACAAGTCAACAACAGTAAACCGGCGCACATTTGGCATATATCTTACAATGCTACAAAGCCTGGAGCACGTAACTGAAAAGTCACTGGGATCATGGACATTGTTCAAGCTGTTTAGAAAGCTGTTTAAATAGGAATTTGGAACGTCATTAATATCATGTTTTTGCAAATTTGGACCTTGTTCGGGGTGACACTGAGTTTGGCGAGCCTCCTCATGTCACCATCCGCCACATGCTGGCTTTGGAAAAAAAGTCATGATGACATTAACACAAACCCATAATATCTAGTACAAGCGTCACACCTGCCAAGCGCCAGATGCCGTCCACTCGTGACCGAGCCGCTTACCTTAGCGATTTGGACACACCAGTTGAGCAGCAGCTGCGATCCGATGTTGTCCTTGTGCTCGTGCACGTAGTCGAGGAGGCAGCCGTGGGGCATGAGCTGCGTGACCAGCTGGATGGTGGGGCTCAGGCACACGCCGAGCAGACGCACCAGGTGGGGGTGCTCCATGCTGGCCATGATCAGGGCCTCCTGGGTGAGAGGGGGGGGAAGACGGACAAAGAGGGACTAAGAAGGCTGTGGCTGTGAATACAAAACAAGTCTTTCCCGTATTTACTCGAAACCGGATCTATGTATTGTGGAAAATAGGAGCGTATTTTATTTCCACAATCAATTAGTGTCTTGGCATCACATTTAGAATAGTAAAGTGACAATCATTTGAGTTGGACCCTTCAGAATCTCGACATCAAGACTAGGAACACCTGCTGTGGATATTCTACTCATGGAGGAGTAGTAGAATTGTGTCTGTCCTTGCATCTATAATCCATGGTATAATTCTGCCCTGTATTCCAAAGAATTCCTACTGTAGGTGGAGTAAGATGCATAAATTAGGACTTGTGGGATGATGACTGTATCTGCATGCACAGCATCTGTCCACAGAGTATTCCCACTGTGCGAGAAAATCCTGCAGAAACCCTCTTCAAAGCTGCCTTTTTTCATCCATTTTTGATGGTGTATAAAACACAGAGGTTATGAAATGTTGCAGCATTGAAACACCGCAACGTGAGTCGAGCATTTACACACTGCCTGTCCAATACAGTGTGTTTGATTTCCAATATTTCTGCGTGTGGATGCGTGTCTTGGCGCAGCAGATGGACGTAGAGGTGGGAGCAGTTGGGACTCCACGTCGGGTAATTGTTATTGCCGCGCTGCGAGCAGAAGGATGTGCGGCGGTGATGAAGTGTCATGATAGCGAGGGCTGGTACTCGTGTCCGGCGTGTGCGTGCATGAGCAGGAGCTGCACTCGGAGTTTAAAGAACACTCACTTCCAGCCTCTCAGTCACGCGCTCTCATATGCGGACACACTCTCTTGGCAGCTCTCTAAAACACTCACACACTCAAGGACGCACTCCCTGCATACGGTCGAGGAGGTGTATATCCAGGCTTGGCCCCGGGGCTGGCTGATAGATAAACGAGGTGCCTTTTTAAATTTAGGTGCTAAAGAATGAGCTCAGAGGGAGAGTGGTGGCCGTGTGGATTAATTCTAAACAAGGGAGGGGGGGGAGGCAATAGGCCATAGAGAGGCTTTTGGCACCATCAGTGCTCTGATTTAAACAGAGCCTCGCGGCCCAAGGTAGTGCCACTACATCTCCACTTCATAAAACCACCTGCCCCCCCCCTCACTGCTCCTCTGAAACTGGCCTGACATTACACAACTCCAGCCAACACCTCGGGATCAAGAGAAAAAAGGGAGGGAGAGTGTGAGTAACAGAAATACTTTTATTCTGCGCCGGTGATCCCAAAAGACTCGCGACTCGTAAACTACGTCCAGCTAAACTCTTCCTCGTGTGTGTGTGTGTGTGCACCGGTGTGTGTGTGTGTTTCTCTCTCATCTCCCTGAGCGCTGACCTCCATTACTGCCGGCTGACCCTCCTTTCCCATCTAGCACACACACACACACACACACACACACACACACACACACACACACACACACACACACACACACACACACACACACACACACACACACACACACACACACACACACACACACACACACACACACACACACACACACACACACACACACACACACACACACACACACACACACACACACACACACACACACACACACACACACACACACACACACACACACACACACACACACACACACACACACACCGCAGAAAAGGTGTGTGTTGCTAAATTAGTGTGGCTTTTGCATTTCACACAAATGAATCAACCCCGCACTCTCGCATCACATATATGCCAACACAAGAAAAAAAATCACCTACATGCGAGGCCGCCGCCACCCGGGGGGGCCTTTTGTTGTAAAGTGCGCGCTATTTGCTTATGCGTGTTTATGTGTGTGGGTTTTCCGAGTGTGTTTGGAGCCGGCACTCCAGTGGCCGGTTTCCCAGTTGTGAAGCGTGAGCCTGCCTTTAGATTGCTGTTTAACAAGTCGGCAGACAGAGCATATTGGCTCTGGGTGGACGGAGACCCCCGCTGGGAGGAACAGGGGAAGGAGGAGAGGGAGATGAGCAAGGAAAACGCAGGAACAGAATAGAATGAGAACATTTTATCACACTTTTCTAGGTTTTAACTTGAGTTTCTCGCAAAAAAACAAGATTACAATTGAAGACTTCATGATAACGTTTTAGCTTATCTTTGCCCAATGCTTATCAGAGCTTGTGTGCTTCATCATTTAGCTGAATAGAGCAGATTAGTTGCGTTATTTAGCCAAGACAGATCCTGCTGTATGTACAGGGAATGAGGTCGGAGACAGGAATACAACTTCTTTATCAACAAGTGTGTATTCCCTGGCAACCAAAAAGCATTGAAATCTAATATTTGAACTGAATATCTGACAATTGTCTCTGCGGGCTTCTAAAACAGCAAAAGCATATCCCTCCTAGTTCCTTTTGCTCAATGATGGTGGCCGTCGGGTGCAACCGCTGGGACCGGGACACTTGTTGACGTTCAGGGATTATACATTTAAATAATAAAGTTATGTTATGGCAATCCTTATTACAGCGTATTTCCAGCATATTCATTAAGGTCACATGGTAAGCTATATGATGTGAGTTGGGTCACACAGAGTTAGAGAGACAATGGTCGTTCTGAATTATCAATAGATGTATTCATTTTACAGTAAGTGAGCTGACGCCGAGGTTAGAGGAAGTTCAGAGAAGGCCTCAGGTTATAAAAACAGTTAACCTTTGTTACTCCTAAGGATGTCATGAGATGATGACTTTTAAACATATACAAGTGTGGCATTCAGAGGGAAAAACATGTGACGTTTTGTGTGGTAGGCTGCATGATCAAATGTGTGTGTGTTCATTGCAGTGGCTATATATGCTGTATGATTGTTGCTACTGTTGGGGGACATTTCTGCGATTGGCAGGTGATGTTGTACTCCAGATTATTATTGTTGTTGCGCAACTGAATAATAATTCATCTCAACCAATGTCTGTGTTTTATTTATCTCTCTCTGTGTTAACATTAAGGTTGGTGAGCCATACATTGCACTAACATTTATTCAGCAGCTATTTCCAGACTTTTGATGCATTATTATATTAAGATTTTAACAGTTTGGAGCAAACTTCCAAGACGATATTGAAGATTGCGAAACCTCGTTATAAGCAAATTACAGTAGAGGTGTGTGAAAAGAAAGATAGGTGGAAGACAGAGGAAGATTGGAAGAAAGGTGACGAAGATAAGGGAGGAAGAATTGGAAAGTCCCCAGCTTACTCCTCTCCTACTCCCCTCTATCACTCCTGGATTGCAATAAAGCCATTTCTCATAAACAAGTGCTGTTTTTTAATAGACTCTCGTTCGATACATGCCTGGCTGTATAGCGCTGTGAAGTTCACTTTATCACCGGCTCTGACTGAGATGGTACTCTCGTAAGAATTTACTGCTGAATGCACAATCCCACAAAGTGACAGGCTCGGCAATTTCTTTCAACAAGGCTGAGGCTTTACGGCTCGGGCACACAAACACGAACACACGGGGCGAAAATGGACACAAATTGCGGCGGCATAAATACTCACGTCCATGAACTCCACGTTGGCTTTCGGGCCGGTGGTCTCGTTGAGGATTTTAATGGCAACAGGGATCTTCACTGTCTCACCTTCTGGCACCCAAATGCCCTGAAATGTACAAGTAATCACCATAAATGCAGTTTCAATAAACATGTCCACAGCCATGATGATGTTGATGGGGACTTCCTGTGTTTAACAGTGTCTTCTGTCCCGCTTACGTTCCTCAAATACAAATAAAACTAGCAACTGTGAAAACATTGACGTGCGTGCAGAATTTCAAGAAATGTCCTCATGGGCTAGAGAGATCGCTTTTACGAAAATGGGACTAACATGAGGTCACAGTGACCTTTAACCATCACATTTTAGTCAATTCCTCCTTGCTTCAAAGTGGTTGCTTTTGCCAAATTTGAAGAAACAATATCTAATTTTTTCTGAGATATTGCACTCACAAGTACATTTTTACTCACAACAAATAGCTCTGATTCCTATATGGCTGTAACACTTTTGTATGTAGATAAGCTATGATCATAACATCTAACTTTACCAAAGGCCTTGGTGGTAAAAAAAAAAGCAAAGAATATGTATTTAATGAGTTGCAGGGTGTTATGAATAATTTTTCCAAGGGCAGTGAAGTTGGCAAGCAAACTCCAGTTTCTGTTCCAGGTCCTTGAGCCACCCTGGACTCATGTCCGTCAGGAAACACTGACACAAAGGGAAATGTTGATGCTTGTTGTTTAGGTTGTCAATTATAATTGCAAGCGGAAAAGCTTTTTATTTGATTGTCTTCCTTGCCGATGTGGGATGTGTAATGAGGAGGCGACAATTCCACACACTGACCTTGTACACTGTTCCAAAAGCTCCAGATCCTAGAATCTTGACCCTCTTCAGCTCCGTCTCCTTCAGGATCCGCAGCTGAGCCTGGTTGGGGGCCGTTCCGCTGGGGGTCAGGGGCTCCACCAGCTGACAAAACGCACAACACAAATTAAGTCCATTTATCCTCGTCAACTCTTTTTATGGCTAGAAAAATAAAGCATTCCTCTTGGCTTTTTTATGTAAAACCTGAAGCACTTCTTTTGATTTAAGTCAAAACACTTGTAACCTCTTGCTCTTGGCACTCTGCATGCATAAACATGTCTTAAGAGTGGAGCATCCTTTTATTCTAATCAACAAAAAACAAGTATTGGAAAGGGAAGGAGGCTTTTAAAAAAGCAGCCAGCCTGCCTTGTCCTGATAGTCGTGCATTTGGCTGGTGCACGGAGGGATTTATGAATACAAATAATTCAGGTGTGTGGAGTTCTGTCGAAACTGGCAGTTACCTATGTGGGCCGCGGCATGAGCAAATCACAGGGTGGTGTCAGCTGCTATCACAGCCGACAAAGAGTAGCGGCTCACCAGCTGTGCACATACAAAACAATTCCAATTTCGAGGTTATGACAAGCCTCCTCCGCACTGCCTGGCTGCCAGTAACAGCTGACACTGAACAGCATCCCAGCAGCTGGCCGGCCACCCGCCCGCCTCACCAGTAGCCGCTCAACAAAGCCCCGGCTAGTAAATATAAAGGACCTGGCACCTGTAACCGAGCGGGAGAAAACTGAGCCAAAAGGAAGTAGCATACATGTATCTCAGAACACATGTATATTCCACATAAGCGCAAATATTGACACCACACACATAGAGCATATATTAGCTCCACAGGAAGTCAATGCCTCCGATCGATACGAGTCTTAATGAGCCTATCGGGCGCCTCATTCGCCGCGGTTTATCAGCGGCATAATCACCCAGCTCAACCACGGCCATCAAACAATATAATGAGACCATATATCAGTCGGTCAGCCATACAAGCACTTACTTAATGTGATATAAAACCATCAGCACAATAGGAGCGGCCATCGCAGCGCCAGGCGGGGCAACAGAATGGATGACATTGCCCGCAGCTCGGCAATGACACGTCGTTTAATGGCCGCTGTTATGGCCCGGGGGCGCGGTGTTAGCCTGCTGACATGTCACCGCAGGAAGTGAGTGAGCTGACAGGGAAGTGGATGAGGGATACATATTGAGGGAGGGGAGTGAGGTGGCAGGGAGCATGACACAGGGATTGTATAATAGTGTATAATAACCTACATCCTAATCATTTAGTCAACAGCATTACTGTTCGATTTGACTTGAGATATTTTGACATGAATCCGACCATTTTTCATTATCGGCTGATGGTAAAATAAATGGACATGACCTAGATCTCTTTGCATTGTTGACATATCGTAGCTTTTTGTGTGACTATCAGTACAAAGTCACACGATTACACAACCAATTACGCTAGCAATTCACGCGCAAGAGACTTTAGTCTTTAGGACTGTTAGTCCTTCAAAAGAACGTATTGCATGAAATAATAAATTACATATAAGCAGATGTATTTGCAACGACAAGACGGATAAGCTTTGATCACATCCATCAGCCTGATATTTAGCCAAAGAGCATCAGTTTGTTGTTGCATACAATGCCTGAATAACAAGAAAAAATCGGTGCTCTAGGTAGAGAGAAATGAAGAGATTCAGAGAGAGAGAGAGCGCAGACGAGGCACAGGGAGGAGGTGAAGGAGCAGGAGTATGAGCAGATGGTGAAAGGCTGTAGCTGTTATTGTTTCATTAGGACAAAGCTGGACTGCTCTGATGAGGAGTGGAGGGGTCTATTAAATAAGACGCCGCACACCCATGGCCTGAAAAGCTCTCTTGAGCTCGTTCTCACGCACGCACACTCATCACGCCACTTTATTTACCAGCTAATAATGCACCTCGCCTTTGCCAAATGAGCTTCGCCGGTGGCTCGGTGCGGAGGATTCGGATGCTTCATTGGACAAATAAGCAGTGTGTTCAAGTCTCGAGCAGGAATACATTCACAGAATGATTCCGTATTGAGTAAGTTAACTATGTCCTCAAACAGAAAGTTGCACTGCAAAACCCTCGGGTGTACGCTTTTATGTTAACATATAAAATGCTACATTTGTTGTGTGTGTAGGTGGAATTAGGTGAAACTAGGTGAGCTACAGAATAGTTAATTGTTTAGGGACATAATTCAATATTAACTCTGTAGTCAGAATAGCTTAATGAAGGTTAAAGAGGGTCATGAAATGTGGTATTACTAAAAGGATCGTAAGACACAATGCAGCACCAAGGGGATACATGCATGAGAGTCGTTTCCAATGTCAATTTAACTATTAGGCTAAAAGAACTAGCTGAAGGCATGACCATTTGCTCCCTAACATTGTTCCATACAACAATAATCACCACATTTTCCTCTTTAAATTGGGTGTCATGATGGCCTTGTACAATATTCTTGTGCTAAACCACAATGACACATAGTGAGCTCATTAGGACCATTAGCATGATAGCAGGAGAGCGTGCTTATCAGTATGCAAGGACTTTCATTCTTCTTGGTATTAGCAAGTCCATCCCAGCAGCAGTGATCTCACTTATCCTCCATCTGCATTTAAAGAGCAGTCTTTTTACTGTACTGCTTAGTTACTAAATATAAATTAATCACTTAGATCTGTAAACAATCTTTATTAACCCATCTTGTGCACACCGTTAATTGTGCTATTACTTGATCCATCAGACTTATTTATTGCATATTTGGTTATCATTTACGATGCACAACATTATGAAGTTACTGAAATACAATCAATGTTGTTAAAGTAAATGTATATATCGTTGTGTTCTGTCTGTCGGAAAACAGCTGTTGTCCATCTGAAACCCTCTGTTTTAGTGACTGTCTCTTTAAGAGAACCAAAGAAAGTCTACTCCTTTCTGATTGGTCAGTGTTTTTTGTGTCTTTCAAAGTTTTTCGAACCTCATTGGAGCAGACAATGACTGTAACGATACTGTAGCGACATCACATCGACATTTTAGGCAAGTCCTAAAGGGTTTAAAGGGAGGGTTTCTAAATATGGGCTGAAATTAAAGAAATTGAATCTAATGTTTCAATTTTGGACTTTAAAAGAAGTCTGGTTTGTTAATTCTGCTGCAAAAAAGCTATTTGTATTTCTTTTCAAATGATTAAAAAGGTGTGAAATGTGCACTTTAAAAATGTGCCCTGGCCTCAATACATGAAAACGTGAAAATGTTTTGACTAGATTGAACATGAGTTTTAGTATATTTGAACAATAGCTGGCTGTGCCTCTGTTCAGCCAGCCTGCCCTGGCGTGAACAACGGGAGCTGTCCAGCTCCTCTGAATGCTGAAATACTTCTTGTAAGAGAACAGAGGAGAGCATGTAAGCAGCATGGGAGCTGTCCACAGCCCGCGGTGCTGAAACACTCACATGGCCTGTGTCTGTACAACGCTGAGGACCTTGGGGGGAAGGATAAAGGGAGGGCGACTCCAAGTGCATTAGTGCTGCTTCATTGCACCGGGGTCAGAGTTCAAGGCCCGGGGTCACGCTGCAACAGTGAGGGGACTCTGCTGTTTGAGCGCTCTCTCCCTGCGAGCAAAGCAATTTGTTTCCAGGGGCTTCCTTTAAGAGGCCCCACAGTGTGAGTCTGGCTTTTTTTCCCTTCAAGGTGAGGTGTGGGAAACAACAAAAACAGGAGTCTAAAAGATAGGAGAATAAAGTGTTTGCACGCAAGGGAGACAGACAGGTAAATGGAGATCAAAATAAAGAAGAAAAACTAAACGGGAGGCGCGAGAAAAGAATATTAAAACAAATGGTTTGCCTTGAAACATGTCCTTGATATGTAAATGTCGGCCGTGTGCTCGGATCACGTTTTGACAGCATGACTCAAGGCTTTCTTTTTCCTGTCTGACACAAGAGGTGAGCTCTCTGTTTTAAAAAAGGAAAAACAATGGCAGATAGGGAACGAGAAGGGGAGTCCCTGAGCCATGGCTGTCCCCAAATCCCTCACCCAGACAAGCTTGATCTCCATTCGCAGCCTCGGCTCTATTATTCGTTTGAATAGAGGATCCACATTCTGCAGCCGTCTAAAGCCTATCGTGCTGTTTCATCAGCCAAAAAGAAGCCTGTGGAAAGTGTGATACAGGGTGCGGGAGCGCAGGTTTGTTAGTATGCTGGGTAGGCGAGAGCGGAGAGAGGCATTCAGATGGAAAGTAAACAGAGTATGCACAAAGTATGCACGCAGTGTGAATGCATATATTGATACTGTATGTTAAAAAGGAAGAATTCAAATCCCAGAGAGATGTGAGGAAACCACCACCGCCTTAAAAGAACTGATTCTGAAATACTGCTGCTGCTTTCAGCCCTCAGAGTCAACATTACACATGGAGAACAGGGTTCCTAGCTTAAGGCAAGATGTTTCACTTTTTCTTAAATGCGCTTTTGAATGGAATATAAAAGCATATTTTCTGCTACCTGATTCTGAATGGCGTTAATGGTAAATAATATACAAAAAAAGTAGATTTTATAATGCAAGATTAGACAAAGAAAACCACAAAATCCTAGCTTTTTAAAAACGTTTTAAAATGGTATTTAAAACATTTTAATACCAATTGACCTGTATTTTTAGATAAATTATTATTTGATCATTCTTTGCATGTAACTATAACTTTTACTATTGTATTTCATACCTGTTGTATTCTACTTGATTGTACAGGTTTTTAACCTATTGTGTTTCCTTCGCCCTTTGTACATTGTATGTGTAGCGCTTGAAATGCCTAGTTAAAAAATGCTATTTTAATAAACTTGCTTTGCCTTACGGTACGTCTACACAGCAGCGTTAAAAAAATCTTGGAGGTGGGCGTATCGGATTTTTTGCGAGCAAGGCACGAACAACCAATCACATGAATCTCCCGCCCGCGACATACGAAGCCAAAAAGCCCGAAGTAAACTGGATATAAACTCCCCAAAACAGGCGAAAACATACCACTGTCTCTGCCACCTCCCTCCATGCCTGGCTCCTCCGGTTTATATCCCGGTAGGTCTGGTCATAAAGCACCGGGTGATTGATTCCCTACCGCTAATTTCTCCTCCATTTTTTGGAATATGAGGAAATGACCTGCGGTATGTCTCTCCCAGCATACACGCCGTTTGATTGGCTAGAGCTTGAACTGTCAGATTTGCGTACACGGGATTTGATTGGCTGACGCTTCCACCTCAGCCTCAAAAGTTGAACATTGTTCAACTTTGAATCCTGAAAATCCTGAAAATCTCCGCTCGCCTGCCCACAATGCATTTCGGCGAAAAGTGAGGGAAAGTGACGTCACCCCATTCAAAGTGAATGGGCAGAAGCGTTTCAAGATTTTTTTAACGCTGCTGTGTAGACGCACCGTTACTTTGTAGAACGAGTGCCCTCAACACTTGCACAATACCAATTTACATCAAAACCTTCATTTTTTAACTGAGGTGATGACTACAGATGAAATATCTACATCCCTGCAGGCACACATCACAACTTCACATTATAACTCTATCAAACATTGATCCATAGCTTAGCTCACCACCATTCAGCTAATGTGATACTCGGGACACTAAAACACAGCTGCTAATGTGTCGTGGGGATGGAACCCATGACCTACTCTTAATAAGTGGTCTGTCTGTAATCCGTAGGCCAGCTTGTGTCAGGCGTTAAAGATTTGATTGTGTCTAATTACTTTTATACCCTATTAGGTCTCCCCGAGGATGGGAAAATTGACTCGGCTGGCAATATTTCATGATTCCCTGGTGGAGTATATGGAGTACGTCTAGGGTACATTTATTAACTTTGACGATTGTTTAATCATTTACCAATACCGTTTCATTGATAAAATACACAGAAAAATTACTTTTGGCCAAGATACGGAAGACCAAGAAACGGTGACCAATCAGAGACAACTTTTTTAGGAGTGGTTCTTAAAGAGACAGTCGCTAAAACAGAGTGTTTTAAACGGAATTTGAATACAGGTATACTTAGACAGACGGAAGGAAGCAAATAAACATGTTTTAGTCGATTTAAAAATAGCATGATAGGTGTCCTTTAAAACATATTAGGACCTTGGATTGAGGAATATGTTTTAACTTTATAACGGGAGATGCAAAAGGGGTCAAGAAGATCCCCCTGCAGACTCCCCCCCCTCCTCTCCTTCACTGTGACAGTACATTAGTGAATATTCTTGGACTGAAGACTTCCCTTCCAGTCAAGACGCTGTCGGAACAGGGCCCGCCTGATTAAGATGGATGTGTGTGGCCGGGACGAGGCAGAAAGTGCCCATGGCCGCCCTCCTCCGATTCCCCTCTCCAGCCTGACAGCTGTCTATAACACTGCTGCCTCTACCTGTAAATTATACTAATGCAGAGTGACAGGCAGCGTGCCCCACTCCTATAGGCAAGGCCACTCGGCGGACCTGCAGTGTGACACAACCGCTGGAACAAGAGAGTGTGTTGTAGGGTGATCAGCGCATCAACCCTGCACTCACCTACACCTCAATCTTTGACTTTCTCCTCTGAATATAAAGTCTGCTCGGCGGTCTAATGCTTCCAAGAAATGAACTCCCTTCAAGGCCAGATCGATGGGGCGATGGCGGCCGTGCATAATTTTCCGCGCAATGCGTGGTTTGGCTAAGTACCATAGCCAAGGTTTAATGTTTCAAGGTTTGCTTTTAAGTCTAGCATTCGTCTGGAAAAGTGCACTGCCACTTTGAGGGAAAGGATTTCTAACAAACTCAAAGAAAGTGGCAAGCGATGCACCCAAAACAAACCAAAAAGATAAAAGGGAAAAGGCTTTTAGAGCAGAAAAACATACAAAAGTGTCGAAGTTAGGCATTTCTTTCTCGGAAATGCCATCAAAGACACCCATCAGTGGGCCATAGACTCAATCCCCTTTTGTGTTATGTCCTTAGGCGATAGAACATGATTCAACAGACATTTATTCACAACATAAAAACACTTTGAAATTGTCCCTTTAAGCAAACAAACTTTGCCTTGTTCATTTTGTGTCCCATAAGGTAGGCATCTTTCCCAATTTCCTCCCTGGGATCAATACAATTCATTAAACAGTGGTAATGTGTCTAAAGCCATTACTAACCCCGGAGCTATTACTAATTTATTCTGTAGCTGCAATTAATTCTACAAATTCTGTACCCTCGGACAAAAATGAAGTCGAGGTAAAAGCAGCAGAAAACTCTCACCTCCGTCTCCAAGAAGCGCCGCAGGGCCCTCTTCTTCTTGATGCTCTTGCGGCGGACAGAGACGGCCACGCTGAGCGCCAGGATGACGATGATAAATAAGCCGCCGATGACGCCAGCTGCTATTAGCGGTGTCCTGTCGAGGCGGAGGAAGAGGAGAAGCATTAACATTGTAGGAAACCAAAAAGGCAATTTGGGAGGAAGTGCAAGGCTCAGACAATGACCACTTCTGAAACGTACCAAAAAACTACTTACTACAATTTCTCCTTAATTCCTTTGTTCTCTCTTCATTTTGCACACCTCTCTATCTTTATTCTTTCAACTAGTTATTTCCAGGCTAGAGATGTCAGGGTTTGTGCTCTTGCCCATAGTTCCACTCTTTTCATTAAAGCAAATACATAGGTTTTCAGGCTTTTCTTTTAGAATAGTGGAAAGAAAACATCCAAACTACACATTCAGGTCTTTTTTGACTAAGTTTGTTGGGTGTCTGTAGATTTATAATAATAATTCCGTATATTTATTATAGCGCTTTTTCCATGACCCAAAGCGCTTTACAGATACACATTACACATACATATCAGACATACATGTAACGGTCATGTACTGTGGACAATACCCACAGGAGCAAATTCAGGTGAAGTGTCTTGCCCAAGGACACAACGGCTTTACAGACGCAGCGGCGGCGGGTTTCGCCCCCTTGATCTGATGATAAATGCACAGCCCACTGCGCCACACCGCCCATCTTCACACCTCAAAGTCATCGAGGCGCTTTACAAGTACACATTGATATCATACATGTACTGTGGACAATACCCACAGGAGCACATTCGAAATTTGAAGTGTCTTGCCCAAGGACACAACGGCCTGACGCAGAGGCGGCGGAAGCGGGTTTCGAACTGGAGTTCCCCAACGCCCCCTTGATCTGATGATCAAACGCACAGCCCACTGCGCCACTCCAACATAAATATAAAATATTACATTTAAAAGAAAGAATGTAAGACAATACGTATTGTCTTAATCGATGATGAGGTGTACGGGGCACATGTTGACCCTATACTTCTGTAGTGTGCTGAAAAATGTGTGAAATGTTACGATAAATACATTTAAAGGCCGTATTCTCATTATTACATTATTATATATTATCTATAATCTATTATTTCTTCTTCTTCTGAACAGTATACGGCAAAATAACTTGATGGAGAAAAGTCCTTTATTTAACAAAGCATGGAAATGGAATTTTTTGCTTTAATGGAATTTAAACGTGCTTCCCAGCGTAAGTCCTCCTCGACTATAACTCCTAATAAATGCGGAATTAAAAGTGCCAATCCTTCCCAAATTGCTTCTGAATCTTATGGGGGGGTGGGGAGGGGGATCTGCTTAAGTCAGGCCTAAAGGTTGGAAGTTAAAAGCACTTCCTCTTCGATAATAACACCGTTAATGCTTTTGCCATTTACATAACCTCTTGCACTTGTGTCTGCCATTATGCCACGGCTACAATCTCTCCTACTATTCCTCTCTTTTCATTTATCCTTCCGCTCTGTATTCCATGTTCACCTTCTCGCCAGAATCATCCCCGTGCTGTTATTCTTTTAAAAACATACCACCTGCTTCAACCTGAAATCCAAAACTCTATTAGTTGTAAAGGCCATTAGCGGCTAATGGAAGTCTCATGTACCATGGAGCAAGGTGCCGTCTGCTTTTGATATCGATTGTGAAGACCCCAAAGAAAGGCGGGCGGGGGGGGGTAGCTTGAAATGTACAAAGAGGCTGTGGGGGTTCGACATAATGAGATATACAGCCATGTGGTGAATAGTAATGCAGCAGTTTGGCATGGATTTAACAAACAGGGAGACAAGGAGAAACAACAACAAGGGGACATATAGGGGAGATTAGAAGACATGGAGGGAAAAGAGGGAGACAAGAGAAAGGACTTCTCCAATTAGGAAGAAAGGGTTTACAGCGGAACAAGCGACACGAGGTCACCGAACGAGACGGGGGAATGGTGCCGCTGTAAGAGCAAAAAGAACAACTCTGGGAATAGAGACTCAGCAGAAGCCTGCCAGGGGGAAATAAAAAAGGTCTCATTTATGTTCCCTCGGTTTAAAAGCAGCTCAAGACCCTCTTTTTTTATGGCTTTGCTGGTTTGGTTAAATTCTAATGAGTTTGTCACTCCTTTGAATGCGCTCTTACTGTAAAAGATCACTTGTTTTTATGGGCCTTTTTTAATGGAGTTCTTGTCGTGCCTTCAGGCTATTTAGGTGGATGTACACAAAATGCTTTTATAAATTCTACTTGGCTGTTTTATAATAGTAGCCGTGTTACTAGATGTAGCACAGTATAGTTATTTGGAGACATACCATGTAATGCCAAAAGATGTATAGCGACAGTCAGAGATATTCGCAATAGATATTTTTGCCTTCTCTTCAACACAATGGAACTAAATGGATTGTGGTTTGTTCATTCATGTCAACAAGGAAATGCTCTACTGTTCCTTTCAGATTTGTTTGATTTTTACCTTATCCATAATGAAATGACATCATAAACTGACACATTAAATGCTAACATGGGCATACGTTTCTCCAGAAGAATTAGACAAGAACAAAACAATTATAACAAACCAAACTGACACTTGTTACTGAGCATCATGGGAAACATTAATGAGTAGTGGCAGGTTTCGATGGTGGTCTCCCTGCCCCACATTACAAAAGACATCCTGAGATCCCTTACCTGTCCATCATCCCGACACAATCTTGGAGTCTCGGCCCGACGCACCTGCAGGGCAAACAAACCAAGAGAGATCATCCATTAAACCGGGGACAGGTTATGAGTAAACCTCGTTGTGTCTTTCTCCCACGTCAATCAGCTGTCACCTGCGCAAAATTGAATCCACGAGCACGGACCAACACTTGTCAACAGGAGATGAAGAAGCATTTGGATGAGAAAAAGCAGTGTTGTTGTTTCTTTCATGAAACATTTTTGGATTGAGGAGCATCATCTGGGAGCTTTTTCTAAACAAAATACTGTGTTTAGCCTTTAGGGAAATTCCCAGAAAGCAGTCTCCCGTTCACTATCTATTTAAAATAGAAAATCTACTTTATAGGTGGCAAGTTGCAGTGTTTGTTGTCTCCAGTGAGTATTTGACCCCAAGTTAAACAAGGAGAGAAAGGTTTGCAAGTTATTTCCAGATGTTTTGCTTTTTTGGTTTTGATTAACACAAATAGTGTGATTTGCAGCCGACACTGGAGAATCTTTAACTTCTTTCCGAATACAAGAAATAAAAGAAATCTGTCGTGTTAACATGCCATCGATTGATGAGCCTTTTTTGCATTTAGGTAAGTAGGAAATGCAGACAGTTGGCTGCTCGTTAATTCTATCTCCTTGAGTGGAGAACTTTGAACAAAAGGATAGACACAGAAGAACGGGTTTTGTGTGTGTGTGTGTGTGGGTGCGTTTCACACAAGACACAACAAATTACATAGCAAATTAGGAGAGCGTGCTAACTTTAGAATTAATTTGGTGACAACTGTGGCTCCTCCAAAGTCGCTCGGTTGTCAATTAAACGGTGCACCAAACAGCCAATTAGCTATTAATCACTGTCTAAAGAGTGTGTGTGTGTGTGTGTGTGTGTGTGTGTGTGTGTGTGTGTGTGTGTGTGTGTGTGTGTGTGCGTGTGTGCGTGTGCGTGTGCGTGTGCGTGTGCGTGTGCGTGTGCGTGTGCGTGTGCGTGTGCGTGTTAGTCAGTTTCCCTCCTGGAGAACAAAAGAGTAGTCGGACAATAAACATCCTCAGGCAGGTACAGAACATATTCTTCCCCCATTTAGAAAGTGTTGTCTCTTGTGCTAATGCTTCTTGTGATTTGTATTGTTCGTAGTTGGCTATTACTTCAGGATTTATTTGGATAACTTTAATATTGAAGTAAACGTAATAATTCCAAGGCCAGTTCTGGAGTAAATTAAGTTGTTTTGAGTGTTGATGGAGAAGCTCAAATGTTAGCATAGCCATTATCAGACAAAACTCCATTCAGAAAACAAGCATTCAAACAAGTTGTTTGTGAACATTTGAGGATAAGCTGAACATGTCTGTGTGTTCAGATTTCAAAGTTAGAGCTCTACTTAAACGGCAGCAATCTGGAAACTACCTTTATTACCAAACTACAATAACTAACCCTAATAAATGGTGCATGCCTTCATAACACCGCCATGCACCATTCCCTTTCGAATAATCCCTCCGTGCATCCCCGTCCTCTTCCCTCGAGAAACCTTTGAAGGCGGTGTAACGAGGCGCCTGGTTTAATCGTCTGCCCTGTTGAAGTGTCCTTTAGCAAGCTACAAACTCTTTACCCGCCTCAAGGACGCCGCTGTGTCCCTGACACTGACCTTTGACCTCGCCAATGTCTCACTGCGGCTCAAGGCCTCTAATACCCAGACACAGCTTCTGTCTGGATGTTAATCCGCAGTGCCCCGTGGCTGTAGGGCAGGATAAAATGACAACGCGTGATGGAGGTGTTGTCATGCCGACGACAGATTAATGTCCACGCAGTCGGGGACGGTTGTGACTGGCTCACGGGAAGAATAACAGCTTCACATGTACCTTTTCTCCCTGCTTCTCATACATCGGTTGTTTTTGCCTATTCACTCAGTGTTATACTGTGAACACTTAAAGGGTCGCTGCAATAGCACAAATAACCTCCTGCTATGTGAGAGAGTACATTACATCTCTTTCCACCTTGGATCATATCTGCAGCCCTGTTGCTAGGTTTCAGCACTCTAACTTTGTTTGCTCCACATACTTCTGCTCTGTATATGAACCATCCCCCCTGTGTTGTCCTGGATAGCGGGCTAAGGCAGCTATTTAAAAACACAGCCACAATGACCCAAAATCAATGAATGGAATTGTTGTTTACCATCTATATCCGGCATATTTCAAACTGTTAGTTGTCTGTCGACAGATCAACTGATAAATGTATTTATTTATTATTATGATTGTTGTGTTTGTTTTGTTATCTTAATGTGTGCACATGTAGAAATGTGTCTGTTGATTGTGTATATATAGGATATACATATGTTATACATATTTCTATTTTTATATTCGGGATTGTGGGAAACGGTGTTTCGATCCCTCTGTCTGTACACACAAACTGAAAGATTGACAATAAAGTTGACTTTGACTAAAGTTCCTAACAAGGTATAAAACATGAATGACCTTATGTTGTGTCGACTAAGTCTGTCTTGTAGCAACAATAAAACTCTATAATGAGGTACATCTTCAGGATATCTAGTGCATTTTCAGCGTTATGCTACAAAATGTCCCTTTTTTCTTTCCTACTTTTCCTTTTTCTCAGGTACTTCTTCCACCTCCACATACAACCTTTCGACTGTCTGCCTTATCTTACATTTCCACGCTGTACACCCCACACCACCTTCCCCCTTGGCTTTATACCTCCCCTCTAGCTACTGTCTCTCTGCGCCCATGCTTTCACTCACAGTTCATCTCCACTACACTCCACGTGGCCTTTAGGGTCAATGCATTCTGCTTCTGACCGGAGAGCCAACAGGAGCCAGCTACAGGTCGGGGAATGAAGCAGCCCTTAGATTAAGTTATCCTCTCTCCCTCTTTGGAAGAAAGGCACCCAATGTCCAAAGCAGAATGTCTTTACAAGAATTGAAACCGCATAGAAGCACCTACGCTTGTGAATGTTCACATTTCTCCATATGATTCCTCTCTTACCCCTGGGTGCAGTTGGCGTGGCAGGGATGACACTCGTTGTTGGCCTTGGCGTACTTGAAGATGAAACCGCTGGGCCCCTGCACCCCATCGGGGCACTTCTCCACACAGTTGGGTCCATCTTTGAAGTGGAAGCATTGCACACATTGGTCCGGACCCTGAGGAAGAGGAGGGAGATGAGAGGAGGGGTTAGGAGGAGGTGGCGGACAAGGGATGAATAAAGAAAAAGAGGGTGCAGTAATGGGATTAGTGAGATGGAACGACGGGGAATCAACAGAGAGAGGAAAGAAATGTCAGACAAAATAATGGGCGGAGGAAATAAAGTTAGGGGAAATTAAATGGGATAAAGCGAGAAGAAAGAATGGAGGTGTCAGAAAATGTAAAAGGGGGAAAGAAGGGAATCAAATACAAACCTGGCGAATCATGTCAAATTTGCTCACTTCCTACCACGTTTAATGCGGCCGGCACATGAATGCCATTCAGTGATTTATAATGTGTTGAGCAAAATGGCCAGGAGTGTATTCCGACACGGCCCTGTTCAAATTGGCAAAACGCATAAGGAATCAGGTCGTGTCAAAGCGCGGCGCATCGAATGTGATAGAGGAGATGACAAGTGGTAACTGAGCTGAGCTGCAGCACAGTCATGAATAAGTAAGACAGAGAACAGTGTGTGTGCATACATGTGAGAGCACTGTGTGTGTGTTTATGCTTCATTTAAACCGGCGCGTTGACTTCAAATAGTGCAAAGATTTGGAGGTGTGTGTTTTGGCGCCACGCTCTGTTGCTAATGACGAACGCAGTGACCTGACGGACAGCTCCTCACAGCTTGACACACAGATCCACACGCCATCAATAAACATTATTCTCACTTTGCATCTTTGTGCGTACGCATGCGCCAGTGTGAAGGCATACAGATGTCTGATTGCATCCGAGTGTGTCCGTATATGGCGCATGCATGTGTATCTGTGTGTAAGAGCGCCTGCGGATGATTGACTCCGGTGTTATTTACTACTCGGCTGTGACCGGCATCCCAAAGTCGGGACGCCTCTGTGCATCCTTGAGGAGCGTCTCTCTGCCTCTTCATCTCTTATTCTCTCTCTGTCTCCTTCTCCAGGGACAGTCATGAAAGGTTACTCACACAAGCACTAAATTCCACAAAATAAGTCATGCGGCGCATTCGATACAACTTGTGACACTGGAAATGCAAAATGCATTGGAAGGCGGTGTAGCTAACGACCCCTAAAGGATAAAGGTGTTAGGTTGTTGCTTTCTTACACCCCTTTCCTATCAGCAGCACTCAGCCTAATTATTACAGTAAAACATACATTAACAGTATTTCAGTGAAACATACCTAGATGCAGAAACAATCTTTGAATGATTTTTAGTCATATGTGAATAAAATAATAGATATTTCCTCTGACTTCTGAGAAGTCTAACTTGAGAAAGTACACATTTACATATCTGATAGATAAACCAATTGTGCGTGGTAAAGACAATTATTTGGATGCCAATAACTATCCTGTGTTACTCCAGCATAGGAAACGGCTGCCTATAATGAAAAGTAACCCTAAAAAAATAGTTGTATACTATTTGTGAAGTGTTTTAGAGACAAAAAGTTGTGGCTAAAGTTAGTTAGTTAGCAACATTATTCCCCCTTCTAAAAATGTGCCCCTTTGTCTCTCAAACTCTCTTAACTCTAACAGGAGAGATTACATATTTGTTAGGATTTATTTTTGACCTGCGGATTAATACACATTTAATGTCAGTATGTGTGGCTCCAGGACTTAATTTCCTCCTGATTTGAGACAGAACAAGCAGTGCAACAGGTTTGTGCTTTTGTGTTATGAAGTTGCACGTTTTTTGGGTGCATAGATGTCCATCACTACATCACAAGATCATTTCAAACAAGTTGTGAGGGATCAAATCTGGGACCATAAAGGTAACTTTAAGGGAAGGTCATAAAGTAATCTCATTTTTCTCTCATGAGTGTGTGCTTGCCAAAAGCATGCCTGCACAGTAGTTTATCATTCCTCCCATTAACCTAGCATTCACCTTTGCAAACACAGCACATACATCTTTTCAAATCCGGTGCGCGAAACAAAAAAAACAAGTTGGAATTCCACTTCAGCACGCAAGAGATATGGGACTATCTTGAATAGAAAAATGAGAGGAGCGGTTTTGATCGACAGTCCACCTTCAGAAAGTATCATTAAGTGAACGTTGGTTGTGTCTGAAGTGTATCCAGGAGAGTCTTACCTGTCCAAAACATGTCATGGTGTTCCCCTCCATCTTCTCACACTGGCTATCACACTCCAGGCACACAGATCCATTGGAAAATTCCCGCATCTCCCTGATAGAGATAGGAAAATCAAGATAGAGGTGCATGTATTATAGATTTGAGAGCGTACCCAGTTGAAATATTGATTAAGAGCATGCTGTGGAGGATGTTGAAGTCCGCTGTGTGTATGCGCGCCAGCTGTACATAGCAACCTTTTGATTTTACCAACATGCTACACAGTATCAAGAAAGACAGGTTAAAGCTTCATCTCCCTGATTTCCAACTGCACTGCCTGCTGGAGTGCCCTCCGGTAGAGGGGCACGCAGGGCAGATCGCTGCCTAAGACTATTTGATCAAGTTAAAGGCTTAGTATGGTCAATATGCAAACAGGGGAAGGCTCATGAATAATTAACAGCCTTTTCAAATTGTGGGCAAACACGAGGGGAATCGTGGAGGGAGGAGGGAGGAGGAGAGCTGGTGGAAGGGAATGGGGAAGGAAGCCAGGGAGAGGGCATGGAAAAAAAGAGTAAGAAAAATAATAAATGTTGTCTAATCAAATATAATATCATTGCAGTTGGTAGGAGAGTCTTTATTTAGCCATTTCGAGCACTGCATGTAGTCCATGATGCTATGGCTTTTAGTCTTCTGGAGGCGAACAATAGAGCTCGATATTGGGTTTATACCGTGCAATTACCCAGACAGGAGCTGCAGAGTGCCCCAGGCCGCACGGTTGCATCCCCATTAGTCCATGTGTGTGTGTTTGCATGCACCAGATCCATACATTTCTCCCGTTGTTTGTGTCAGATTCAGTACATTATCTCTGTTTTTGAAGTCTCCGGCGAGCGGAGGATTGCGGGCCGTCGATACGAACCGCGGCCGATCAAAAACACTTTTCACATCAGAGGGATCGATCAGTCGATGCTGAGGACAGACAGCTCTCAGAGGAGGATTCACCCGGTTACAAACAAGAACCCCTTTTCTCACAGTGGTGGGATAATGAGGGGGATAATGAGGGGGATTCTGGGTGCGCGGTTTGTTTGTGTTTGCATGTGATGCTACTCGGGTGGAATATAGATTCAACAGATTCCTCTTTGTGAGCTGTTTTCTTATGTGATTTTGCATATTTGGATGGCCTGCGGGTATGTGTGTTTTACACATTTGCATTGGGTGCATTTTGGAAACATCTTAGACGTGCTGGTTCTAAAAGCCACACAAAAGAGAGACACTGCAGAATTCCACTGTATCACATTAAGGGGCAATACAAGTGAATATAAAACACTAGAGTTCCCTTTTCCCGTGCCTTTTATGCTTTTATAGCAGATTTTACTACTATTTTGACTGCTTTTTTATGACTTCTAATATGGGGTAATTGATTGACTGATTGATTGATCGGTTGATTGATTGATAGTATAGCAAATGCTAAAACAGCATTTGCTATACTATACTATTCTGAAGGCTTAGTCTATAATATATGAAATATCTTGGTTTCGGAAAGTAACAGAAAGTTACAAAATGTTGTCCTAACCCTCCCCTCCCTGCTCGTCTAAAGCCCCCAAACATACAGTATCACGGTGTCCTTTTATCAATAATGTTTTTCAGTGGGATTCAAAGGAAACTCCCATTGCTCTTTGCACATTCCTCCCTCGTCTATCTTTCCCTTGTTCCCAAATAAATTACTTTTCTCCCCTGGAAGCTCTGTCCAGGGGAATCCTTTAGAAACAGGGTCCAGGCCGTGCAGAGATATCTCTTTTGTTGTTTGAGGGGGAGAAAAAATACATGGAGGAGAAGAGGTGAGAGACAAAGACCTCGGCAACGGTGCTCTCCAGGGTCATTTCCATTCCTTCAAAGCCGTTCCTCCTGATTGGCCCCCTTCACGGCTGGAAGTGCGCGCCAAGGGCCCCACCGGGGGGAAGGCCTGATGGGGGATTAGCCCTGTTTTAGCAGGAATTTAAGCAGCACTGTGGCTACTATTCAGACCCCCAAACCTCCAGCAAACCAGAGCATGGGCAACCCAGCAGAGCAACTTTTTTAATTAAACACTTTCAACGCCTGCCTAATCCGCTTCCACCCTCTTCCCCCCCCCCCCCGAAACCCCAGTGGACACCATCTCAGCCGTTTTCCTTTTCCCCTCTCGCACGCCTTTGCTCCTGCTTTGTTTTATTCAACAGACGTATAAACTAAAGGGAATTAGTGCCTTTACTCATTAAGAATGGAGACGTATAAAGAGGGCGAGCTGAGGAATCTTAAGGTTTAAAATCATCAACCTGGAAACATATTTAATGCGCCAAGGCTCAATTCTGTAGAGAGTTACAGTCTAATACAATAGATTCAGAGCAGAAAGTACGTCAGTCCATGCTGCACACAGTACAACTCCATTTACAGTAACTTACCAAGTATTAATATTACAGCAAGTTACCGACAAAACAGGTAACGCTCTATGAAGACGATGGGATACTTTGATTTACAATGCTTTTGAACCTTAAAGCATGGAAACATGTCACGGTAGAGGCACAACATACACATATGAACCTATAATGGAGCATAATAGGGCTCCTTCAATACTCTGTTAAAGGATTAAACTCACCACTCTCTATGTGCATATAAAGAGTATTATTTAAAGCCTTTTGTAACCAACTTTCCTTCTTCTCTCTATGTACTGTTGGGGTCATATTATATGTATGGTCTATTTTTAAGTTGTGCAGTACGAAATAAGTTTTGTATCTGGCTTGAGACTGAAATCATATGACCACCAGGGGGGAAAATACAGGTTTACTAAGATTTCCATCTCATGAAAGCTACCCCTTTATCTGTCTAAGATACACAGTGCTTGACAGGGGGTGACTTCTTTCCCGGGGCTTTCAATTATGGACATTCTGGTTCAAAAGTTCAGGGCGGTAACACAAAGCAGGGACTGTGCCTGACTGTCAATGCATCACAGTGATTGTATTTACAGTATAGGAGACAAGTGTGCTTCAGCAGCTCCCTGCCACGTGCCTCTTCCTCACCAGTCTTCTTCAAAGCCTCCGATGTGAGCTGTTTTCCCGGCAACTTCAAAGCCTCCCTCCCACAACCGGTGCCGGGAAAAAGACCAGCAACAAGTCAACATGACCGATGGTTTGTATAACCTCTCCCTCACACGTACCCTCTCCACTTCCCCCTTGGGAGAACACGAGCTTGACCTCACTACTCGCGAGAAAGTCCTATTTATCTTGTGGCACACGCTGCCTTATATTAGACGGATGCTTTCAAGTGTCATTCACAACGTCTCCTAGTATATTCAAGAAGAGCACAAAAGACTACATCTACAAAGACGTGTTTCTCCGGTCTCCAGTGTGCTTTTTTGATGTACATAAAGCAATGACCTGAATGCAATTATTCACACTGAAAACAGAACATCAGTGGATTGTGAGGACACTCAAAGAGCCTTTGTCGCAAATGTCAGTTATCTCCCAGCTCAGAGCAGAAAACTCGCTTTTTCTGCCAGCCTGAATGGGCAATTTGTAATAAAATATAATACTTCAACGGTATATTCAAATTGATTATGGACTATGGCTGTAACAGGCAGCCAAATGTTCCTTTAACTGCTCACGGTAACTGTTCACAGAGTGAAATTCCTTATTGGTTCATCTCATTACATTCATGCCAATGCAATTAGACTCCCCTCCTCCAGAGCTCTTGAGAATGTTTTGACTTCATTCTCATGCATCAAAGCGGCTTAAATTGATTTGATTTCCTCTGTTTGTCATGTGCGGCTGTTTGCAAGGGGAATTAATGCAGTCTCCTGAAACTATAATGATCTGATATTCAGGAAAACGCTTCATTTCCGGGTCAGATTCGTGTCATATCAGATCAAACATTTACCGGAAATGCATCGATATGAATAAAAGAAGTGTTTTCTGAATGGATTACTCACCCGTCAAAAAGGTTGCAGGACTCCACGCAGGTGCGGCCCCGCCTGAAGTACCTGCAGGAGAGACACTGGTCGGGCCCCGGGCCCCAGCACCCGTCGTCCGAACACATGCCATCACACACCATGCGCTGCTGAGCTGTGGAGAGGAAGAAAGCCTGTCAGAAAGCCTGTAGCCTGCACCAGTGGTGGAAAGTAACTAAGTACTCTAGTAATTGATTATTATTAATACAACATATAAATGCACTTATACATGAACATATATAATTATAAGGTTAGCTATCCAGTAGTATATCAACTCATTCAAACACATTAATGCATTGATAATTATAGTACGATCAAAATACACGGTTCTTAAATGGGCCCTTCTGCATAATGACTTCTTACTTAAAGTACAATTTTCACCTTGTAGAATTGCTACTATGACTGTTCTTTGTCCACCGCTGACACCCACACATATCATTAAATTCAAGCACACTTGAAACTTGATATGATACATGAATAGCTCTGAAGTTAAAGCATAGTGGTTAATATTATACAATTTAATCTAGAGGATGGCAGCGTGTTTTACCCAAGGATGTATAAAGAGAACTAGATACAGTAAAGACCTATGATAAGCCCCGCCTTCTATCTGCCCATCTCGGCTCCGTCAAATGAATAGAGAGGGAAAATATAACTCTGGTTTTGCTTTTAGTAGATTTTACAACGTTGAGAGGGCTAAAAAAGTGTTTGTTCTTGAATAACTTTTTAAAAACGACGGCTATTTCACAATGTAAGGAGATGGAAAAGTAAAAATTGTGTTTGGACCCATCATGGAAAAAAACAGAATCGCATTTGGCCACTACAGAAATGAGCTTCAACAGGCTGTGCACTTCCTCATGGCTTGGTTTTACCTTGCATTTCCTTGCATTAGTGTGCGATTGTGTGTGGTCTAGCCGAGGGATGCCCAGCTGTGTGAGTTGCACATTGGTATTCCCAACACTTCCGCAATTAAAGACCGCCCGTAACAGAACCCTAAGCCCTTTTTTCCCCTCAGTCGAACCACAACAATCGATGCTGTTCATTGCACTCGGCGTGTCCTCCATCCGGTGATTGGCAACCACGTCCCCGGGTGCGTCGCCCAGTGGGGGCAGAAACCCTTTGTCAACAGCCGAACAGTCAATGTTAGACAGGGGGGCTAGAGCCTAATGAAGAGGCCTGTGTGAGGCTGTATCGATCGATTTCTAAACACACACCGCAGTCATTAACTGGCTAATGATATCAAACACAGCCAAGAAAAACTACAGTGTCCGTGTTTTCTCGGTCTTTACTGGCACATTACACGACCAAAGAAATGGTTACTAAGAGATGATAATACCATTTTTAATTAATTGCAAAACCATGGTGACAATTCCCTCCTTGTATTACACCAAACAGTTTCCACCATCTGCAGCTCAATCCACATGTACTCTATTCATCGTTTCCATCAGGTGTCCGCTTCCCTGTGGCTAGCAGTGAGCTTAATCCACCTCTGTGCATGACGCATTAAGCACTTTCCTCACAGGGTGCTGAATAAGGGCTTTCATGGCCGGGCAGCTTAGAGACGCCCGTGACACAGTCGCCTTGGAAACGGGCATGGTGTAGTGTAAGGCTGGGGGGGAGAGATGGATTTGCAGAGATACGCGGGGCATCTGGAATTAATTAGACGACTAATAGGAAGGAAAAAGAGAGAACGGAGGAACTTTAAAGCTGTTTTGTTACCACCAAATGTGTTTATTTTTCTAAAAATCCCAAATTGACACACCAGACAGTTTATTTTTAACCAAAAAAAGCTACTTTGAACCAGATTTAAAACGTATTTCATCAAACAGACTACTTACTGCATTCCTTCGGCTCTCTGTTGTTGCGGATCAGGACTTTCTGGCTGGACGTCCTGAAGAGAGACGTCCAGTTGACGGTGTTGTAGAAGCACAGGCGGCTGTTGTTGAAGATGTACACGTTCCCGGCGCTGATCTCGTCCAGCGACTGGAACTGAAGCGAGGAGATCCAACGCTGCTTCAAGATCAACAGAGAAATACCACTACCGCTGCAGGAGACAGAGAGAAAGGAAATAATGACAACGCTGAGATAGATAGGGAGGGAAAAAAACAGATGGAAGACGAAGAACAGGGTGATAAAAAGTTTTAAAAATGAGTGGAATGAAAGAGAAATGTAGCACAAAGAAGTAGTTAGACTGAGAAGGAGGTTGCTTCTGCCCTACATGACCCATTACTGAGTTACAGGGTCATCAGTGGTGTTTACAAGGCGGGATCTCCTTTGACTCTGCCAGCACTATCTCTTGGATCTGCCACTTGTGAGCGAACACAGAACCTGTTATCAAAAACGGGGCTAATCAAAGCTGCGTGATGCTTCAAAGAGCCTCTGTGCAGTACATCGCGGTCCTGGCGGCTCATTAGCCCCAACAGTAGCCATTCAAGTACACGAAAACAGCAAGAAAGAGGGAGATATGAGGAGCTTTTCCCAGCAAAGATAGCACATATAATACAAGCATTTCATTTGTAATTAGGTCAAAACATGCATGTAATGAGTTTAAGATGTAGTGGCATACGTCATATAGGTTTTTTCGCTTTTACGAGATAAAACATACCTGTATAGGGATCTACCTCCAATGGTTGACAGGCTGGAAAACACACTCAGATCTGTCATGTTCTCAGGCCAAGACTGGATGTTGAGGTATCCTAAAGAAAAACATGTGGTAGTTAGCGGTGGAGCAGTCTAGACCGGAAAATTGAAGTCATGGTCAAGATCAGACAGACGAGAACAAGGGGTGCCAAAACTAAGGGGCTGAAATAAAGTGTATCCTCTTACTCAACACTGCTTTTCCATCTTGAAATAAAATCCTGTTTTTTTAAGATGGTTACAAGATGGAGTAATAATGCATTTGAGTACGAGGCTTTCAAAGAGTCGCAAGCTCAAGTGGTACAACCCTACTAATTAGTAGACTTAGTTCAAGTAATCAAAGCTTTTTCCTCAGTAGTAATGGGGAACATGAAATAAAGAAAAAAGGAAAAGGGGTTCCAGGCTGTACATGTGGTATTGTAATGAGCTACTAAATAAAAAGAGTCTCCTTTGACTTCAATTCATGCATTGCCTCTGAGAAGTTCACACAAGATTCTTTGTAAAAAAAAAAAGCCTTGAGAAGACAATATACCCTAATTAAAAGAATGGATTTAATATTGTGCACAATCAGTCCCATTGCACTTGCCTTTGATGACAGATTACATCCGATGAGAACGTGTGGAAATGACATTAAAGGGATAGAGCAGGAAATGGCTGGGATCGGATGGCCATTGCTCTTTCTTATTGCTCGGATTTTCATTATGAAAATGCAGTTTCACTCCATTAGCTGTTTGGCTCAAATGCAAGACGCCGTTTCATATGACAAAAGGGTTTGTGTACGAGGTATTACTCATCCCTTAAGGCCACTAATAGTTAATGAATAAATACACACTCGAGCATGCACACACACAGCGTGTTACTGAAAGCACGTATAACTATTACAATAACATCATATCCACCTTTAGAGTTCAACGACACAAAAGAAACTATTTGCCATTTCCCACTTTCTTTTACTGCCTCAGAGGCGACACAAACGACATCATAGTTTTACTTTATTTAGTCAACTTTGCCAAGGTGACCCCAGACTCACCTGTGATCTCCTTCACAGTGCGGAATGCATTGAGGTGGTCAGGGTCCATAGGTCCGATACCATGATACATGTCACTGAAAGAAAAAACACAAAGTGAATACCTTTATTTTGCTCCCTGCATTTGCTTTAGTATGACCTTATTTATAAAACAGTCCTGAAAGATCTTATTACTGGAGACAGAATTATTTGTTATCTCTAATGTGCTGTGTGACATTACACATTAGTCTATCCTTAAGATAGAGCTTCGGGACACTTTGACAGTAGCGTGTGATTGAATATCTGCTTGTTGACCTTCCAAAGTCAGGATTTCCCCGACACAATGGGATATGAATGAAGAACTGTTTGTCTACAAGTCTACCTCTCTTCCTTGTGTGCTGCTGTAAGTCATTCAGATAGTATTCCATTTATTAAGTTGTGTGAAAGAATAAGAAATAAAATAAAGCGCAGCACTTTCTATGATATTAATGTGTTATGATCCAATTATAGCACTGAATATTGTTTTACGTGTTCATAATGCTTGATAATATATCATAATCCACTGTAAAGCATTTTATACTGAACTATAATAGAAAAGTCCATTTTAATTGTACAATGGCTTTGTGTGGTTCTTGCATGTATTTAATAATTTATTTCCGTTACTTAAATCAAAGAAAGACCACTTGGAGTAAGTCATAATAACTGTTATAATTGTATGTATTTTAATGTACTACCACTTTGGGAATAATCAAACACCAATCTTGCAAAATGAGAGACCAGCAATTATGAAATATTATGATTCTTGACCATTTCAGTCATTATATAATGCTTTAATATCGGTTTGAATTAATGTTAAAAAGCATTATAATTATTTACGAGTGAATGTTAATATACCTGTACAGAGCTATAAGTAAGTTAAATATTTAATAATAATTAAATAAACAAATATATAAAATAGTTAAAGACATGAGCATCACAGAAAGTGTTACCAAAAAAATTTGCTTGACTTGAAAAACTTTACAAAAATACAAATCTCCTGGACTTACCCTTTGATCCCTGTAATGAGGAAGATTAGGTTCCCGTTGATTTTGGTGCAGTTGACAAAGTTATCAATATTGCTGGCATCTACTGTTTGCGCCGCCAGCAGGCTGCCCGTCCCTATGCCATCGCACACTGCCGACACAAACACACATTATTCAAATTATGAAGTTGCTTTAGGCATGAATTACCTTCTTTAGAGTACAACCCAAAGTGCCCTTGCACCGCAGAGACCTCATTCTGAGAAAGTGCTATTAGCTATTTGTCACGTTAATTCTTTACACTCTTTTATGAAAATACCCCCTGCTTTGGTGCGCAGGCAAGGCCGCGGCCCCTTCTCCATGCATTGGGATTCTTTTGATGAAAGCACGGCCAATCCACAGCCAATTCCTCTCTGTAATGAATTCATTACATCTGCATTAATTACACTTGCGGTCTGGTGTGAGCCAAGTATTTCTGACAGAGGCGGCGGGGATGATGAATAAGGCTTGTATTAAGTGGTGTAACCAGTTTTTGATAGTGATTTATACCAGCCAATTCCATATCTGAAATGTTAATTTGTTATCATTTCCCACAGTTCCTTGGGCTATCCCTCATTAACCCCTTCCTGCTGCGTGACGATGTAATCAAGAGATTAGCCAATCAATGGATGCCTCAGCACCGTGCGTGGAGCCCGGAGGAAAACAGGACTATAAGAGAAAGGGCAGATCAGTTACCTTTGTGGGAACAATATGATGAAGAGGCTAATTCACTGTATTGAACTGCTTTTTAATTTCAAATTGTTTAGCTATTTAGCTGACACTCGCACAAAATGAGTTGTAATTACTGAGCAGGTAGCAGCAGTTTCTCAGTATGTTCCCACTGCATGTTAATTAACACAGTGACTGTTGTCAGGTCAGACATGTGACCTTGATGTATGCGATATGTAATACAGTGCATATTCAAAGCAGCAATATGAGGTGTGCAAAACAAGTGGCCAGTCATTTCAATAATGCATGAATACATACATGGCATGCATAACAAATATTTGGTATACAGTTTAAAGTTTACTGCATGTATTATATGATAGAAGCTGTTAGAGCAGTTTGAAAGTAAAATTACACCAGCTATTTTTTATTTTAGGGGTGTATATTATTAGCATAAATAAATCAGCTTATTTAGTATAATGTAAAACAAAAAGCTGGTGCCAATATTTATATAATCTTTGGTGTAATTCTTGTGTGCTCCAGTAACAACACTTTTAGCATTAATAACATTAATTAATAATACAAGAAAAATAAACAGAAAGTATTTAATCAGATTTCCTGATCACATTGAGTATAACTTATACATTACATGTCATTTGTTAGACGCTTTTATCCAAAGCAACTTCCATACATTCAGTACTGTGGACAATCCCCACAGGAGCAACTTGGGGTGAAGTGTCTTGCCCAGGGACACAACGACATGCTGACTGCAGTGAGACTCGAACTTGCTACCCCCTGATTCGAAGTCCAGCACACTATCCACTGAGCCACAGCCGCACAACATTATACATTATATACTGACAAAGTGGCCAAAAAATGAGGGTGTTGTCAGTGTGTCTGTGCACTAAGACAAATGTGACAATCTCAAACACTTACTGGGGAACCAAGTGCATCATCATTCCTAGTGTCATCATAATTGAAAGATTGAGGGCAGTTAAGACTCCTCAAAGTGTCCAACTTTATGATGGATGCACATACTACAGTGACTTTCACAAGTTTCAACAAAATCCACCCGAAAATATCTTCTAAAAATAACTGTATTGAACTTCAAAGAATGATGATTATTTAAGCCATCCTTCTACCAAGCTAGCTAATGGCAACAAGTGTTTAAGAAGATGATAGAAACTACTAAACATGCATAATTAACTAATGTATACCAATAACATTTCTAATGTTATCATGTTGCCATGATATATAATTAAATGGCTTAGTTATCACTAATTATCACAATTATTCTAATGTGTCATACTGGCCAATCAGCAGCTCCTATTTTGAAAAAGGGACATTTTAAAACAACACCTAGAAGGAAATAAAATGTGACGTTTTGAAGAAAAAAAAATGATAGGTTTCAGCATCAAAACTGCACATTCTTTAGAATTTGGCACCAAAACTACTTTGATAAGTTAAGGAAAAGTGTTTGGACCAGTCGATTTACCTGCACCTAAAGACAATTTCTGCCTAAATAAATATACTATACATTAATATTCTTCATTCTGCATTGGCTAATTTAGAAGTGGACTTACCTTTCGGACAGATGTCGGTGCAGGGGATGCACATTTTGATGCGGTTCTCCTCCACTTCCATCTTGTTGCTGGGGCACGCTCTGACGCAGGAGCTGTGGTCCACCACGAAATTATCTGGCGGAGACACAGACAAGAGTGTTGGTGTTCTTCTCAGCGGAGATGCCGTGTGTAAAAATCAACGTGTGGCGAAGCACAATTTCCTAGAAGGAGCCCTCTAATGGCGAGCAATTGATTGTATTTTAATCACGTTTGTATAATGATCAAAACTAATGGTCTAGGGCTATATTGCCAAGGAAAAGTAATGAATCAATTTAGAACTTGGGAGCGGCGGTGGGAAAAAGTGCGACTGGTGTGTGCTCATTTGATGATCACTGGGACTTGAATATGCAATCTGTTGACTTTTAATGCATGCTCTCTGAAATACCGCTGCACTCTGACTCAATAACAGTGAAATAAAGAACTACAATTAATTTTTTCAGCTGCCAGAGGCATAAAACAGATGGCGACTGGTTGATTGAGACGCACGATTTATTTGTGTTTGACTCATTTATCTTTTCTTGAAATTATTGTTTCAGGATAAATGCTTCTTCACCGGTTCGCAGACTATAAATTATGAGCACCATTATGAGCGTCCTTGCAGTCAAATTGAACTTAAAGCAGACTTACGTGGGCATTTCTTGACACAGAAGGCTCCATAGGTGTACTTGGCTCTGGGGTTGTGCTCCAACTGGAAGGACGTGGGGTTGTAGACGAACGGCTGGGGGCATTGGGTCACACATGCTCCGCTGTCGTTGAAATTGGTGCAAGCCTGCGGAAAGCGCACAAAAACAGTTAGCTAAAAGGCACTAGCATGACTTCCCATGGGGGGTAGGAAACAGAGGGGTTATGGGAGGGGAGGATTTTCTCAATAAGTCACCGTGAGGGAAAGAGTATTACGGCAGCATTTCATTTATACGTCAACTCGTGATCGTCCAGCATTCCCTTGCCTCTCTGAACGCCAAATGGGAGAAAAATTGGAGCCATTGATCGTGCGCCATGATGTAAACGGTGAAATGTTTTCCCATAAACCCCGTTAAGTGTTTAGTTGTCTGTGTCCACAGGCTGTAATTGAATTGGATGAGGCTTTTCTGTGAATTACAACGACAATATCGTCCCGTGCGTCCGAGCGGTCGAGTTTGGTGAAATGGGAGAGAAGTGGAGGTGATAAAAGGGATACTAATTGGAAACACTGAATCACCAATTTGTTCTTTCGAAGAGGAGACTTTTACAGCCCCGCCGTAAAATGACAAACAATTTATCAGCCGGCAAACAAAGTGGATCATTTGCCGTCGGGCGAAGATGACAAACAGATGTTGCAAGTTGAAGAGGGATGATATTAGAAACTTGTCTCAGAGAGGAAAAGTGAAGATATAGAAGGGAAGAGAGTTGGGGAAGTTAAGAAGGGAACAAAAGTGTGTGTGTGTGTGTGTGTGTGTGTGTGTGTGTGTGTGTGTGTGTGTGTGTGTGTGTGTGTGTGTGTGTGTGTGTGTGTGTGTGTGTGTGACGTACGAAGCAATCCGTGTCCTTGGGGCCGGCACAGCCGCCGGCGCACTCTCGGTGGCAGCAGTCGCTGACGTAAGGCCCGAAGCATCGACCGTCACACTGCTCTGCACACACCGTCTTTGTCACTGCACAGGAAGTGGATTTTTTTTTTTAAAGGTCTGACACATACATTCACACTTGGAAAAAAAAAAGAGACAATACCACCACGCTTCCCTCTGTGAGCAAACGTCGTCTGATGTAGAATTCCAGAGTGAGGGCCTTGAGCAAACTAAAGGTCAGACAAGTGGGTTCGTGATGGCGAGGTCACAGGCTTGAATGCCCAGGCGCAGTTTCAAAAACACGGAGCACTGTCCTTTCTTTCAACAGCTGCTCTGGAGGTGCCCTTGAGCGAGCCTCTTATCCTTTAGCTTCACATTCAAATTGTGCTCGAGAGCCCCCAGGTATGAAGTGAAATCAATTGGTTTCCCCCTTGATACATAAAAATTGAAAATACTTCACCATATCTGTGTTTATTCTCTGCCGAACGGGCAATAATAAAACGTCCAGCTGTTCCCAGAAAGCTATCATTTGTTGCAATGCCAACTCTTGTGGAATACCAGAGAAATATAACTCCTATTCCTGGGTATTTTATTGCAAAGCTACTCTAAAGAAAGCTGTATTTTTAGCACTGAACAAACACTTGGAGCCTACCTATCGTATAAAACTCCAATACTTGTGCTAAAGAACATCCGCCCACACATTATTGGTACAGTAAGAGAAATATCAGCCAGCGAGTCAGCAGGAGCTTGAAGCTGAGGCATTAAAAACTGCTGCGCTCACTCTCTGCTTATAATGATGCAGCAGTGAGAGAATATAACAAGGCCCGTCTAGTCTATTAGCCTGTGTTAGTGTGAGAAAAGCTACCTATTTGGGTTTTAACGGTACGGGTAGAACTGCAATTATACAGAGAACTAATATTTGTAATGCTTTTGTCCCACTTTAATGTGGGGACAAAATTAATGAGGTTTATGTTTGGTGCAATTTTGGTTAGAATAAGAAGAAAAGAAGATAAAAACACCCCCTCCCCACTCTGTGTCAAAGTAGATTATAGCGGATTATAGATTATTTTAAACAGATTGTACAATATCCCCTACAATTCAGTCAATACAGTAGCTCACTGACTTACACTAATAACTGATTTAAGTGTTTTGGTTAGCCTGGATTTCTATTTGGAGTTCTAGTTGCAGTAGGGGTATAAGTGAAGGAAAATATACCTATTTAAACATTTTCTAAGAGGGACTTTGAAATGGAAATCAATGTTGAATTGACTAAAATGTTGTGATCATGATTGTTTTTCCAGCAGCAGAATATTTAAAAAGAAATTATGGAGTTATTACTGTTGGAGTATTTAAGGAACCATGAATAAATAACGTTTTTAGGTACCTAATAACTGCTCAAACGTATTAATTTGCATGGAAGAGTTTTGAAGAGAAAGATAGGTATCAATGTCTGTGTGTCTATTGGCAGAGCTGATTAGCAGGCTTGTCGTTTCCAGGGTAACTGCAGGTGTGTTTGCATACTCACATGTTTGACACTGGTCCTCCTGATGGCCCCAGCAGCGTCCGTTACATGAGCGATGACAGCGTCTGCCTGCAGAAACACACACAGAGCAAACTTAAGATGTAGTTTTTACACAAACACACATAAAGACAGCCCCCATGCAGTCACGCACACCCCGAAAACTTCTACTAGCGACAGATCTTACACCTCCTACGCTCATCTGACAATAGACCCAGGCGACAATAGACCCAGGCGACCTGTTGAAAACACAAGACAAGCCTCCATTCCCTTCAATCAAGCGCGCGCACAGCCAAAGTGGGACCTGACAGAGTCTAACAGCCCTCATCTGCCAGTGGCCCATCATCAAGGCTTAATTGACTACGGGTTAATTACAGAGTAAGTGGAATGGTACTGCAGATTGTCACCCGGCCCCTTCAACCACTCCCACTGCGGGGTTGTTAATGTTAAATACTGACTACGGCTTGGCAAAGGGCCCCAATTTGGGAACCTTAACTCCCACTCCATCTCCTGTCATTTTATTTGCCCACCTCCTCTGTTCTTTGTTGCTTTTCATCCTCCTCCTCCTCCATCAGTGCCTTCTTATCAACAAAATGGCAATGTTTAGACATGATGTACTTAAAAGTGTCCTTTATTTAAGATTTACCAGCTTTGCATTACATCAACTACCTGCTAAAGTCGCCTGTAAACATTATATAAGAGTTGGAAAATAAGCATTGGAATTATGTCAAATTGCCACTTTCAAATATTTCAAACCCTGCTCTGTTTTTGCCAAAATTAAAAGGTTATTCCGTTGCATGTGTTTTTGCCTCAGCTGTCTCTTTTGTTCACCCTGACATCTTTTGAAACACGAACAAAACTTCTTTAAGCCCACCACTCAAAAAGAGCATTAGACATAAGTGTGTCGAAAAGTTTGAGAGGGTCCGTCTTTAACAGCCAGCTCTTCTGACACAGGATGTCCGCCGGATAGCCTGTTGAGGGTCTGCGGGGACCCCGATGAGTGGGGCACCGGGGGAACAGGGCAGCTTCAAACCAGCTGTCAGATTCACTGAGATTTAAAAAGAGCCCAGCAGACAGCGGCTCCATGGGCCTCGCTGCAGAGCCCCTACCCCAGTACTACAATGGAAAGGTTCACACGTTGATCTAACACTATGTGATTTCGCTTCCAAATGGCCGCGAGGCAAACGGAATGAATCCAAAAAAGAGATAGAGCCCGACTGCTGCTGGTGGGGGGAGTGTGTGTTTGTACAGCCTGTTGGCATGTGGTCTGCTTTCAGAAGGGAAAAAAAACAATAACTTGATTTTCATCCAAAGTTACTGGTTGCACTGGTTTCCACCCACATGCGGTACTCACAGCCAAGGTTGCTGTTGTTGGATGGCACCACCAGCAGCTCCGCCTGAGGGTTCTTGATAATGTCACGCCAATGGATGGTGTCCGCATGGCACAGGAATTTGTTCTGGTCAACATAAACTCCCCCGTTCAGCACCTCTGCAAAATACAAAGAAGACGGAGAAAGAGAGAAATGAGCATATAGCCATGGATTTATAGCACATGTACAAGATGGCAGAAAATCAATACTTCAAGGTTAACTCCCATCGTTCCTTTGTCTCAAAGTACCGCGCCGCATAGTGCTCCCTGAAGTGCATCTGAGCATGAAGATAAATGCTATTGACAAATGCACAGAGTAATTCAATTCCATGTCCAAAGACAATGATGTCTCATAAAGAAGTACTCGGCGGAAAACAAGTAAATGGATGTCACGATGTAAACAAAAGCAGCCTGGAAAAGAACTCCAAACTGTACGCTGGTGTAAATTCCTAATTATGCATTGAGTATTCAATCATTTCATTTTTATCGTGAGAGTTAATGAATGTCGCTGGAAGACACTGGATACTTGTTGTGGTAATTAAAAAACGGAAATAGTCAACTGGAGCAATCCTCAAAACCAAATAAGTTTGGAGACTGGTGTCGGGGAATCATGGTGTAGGTAGAGAGTAGATGTATTGATATGTGGTTGTAGGGTAAATATTATTCCACTATAACCTATAAGGGCTTTTTCTTGGCTCAAAACAGACCGATATAATCAAACAAACTCGGATTAAATTGACCTACTATGCAACCCTCCATGAAATTGAGAGCCACCACACGAGAGACAAAGGCTGACTTCTCATCCGGCGTTCGCTTAATAGCAAAAATATGTTTCTTTTCAAGGACCAGTGCCCTTAACAGATGCCCTTAACAGATGCCTGTGCATGGAGTATGATAATAAACTCTAATCCCTCTCCCTGTGCTAATCCAGATTTTGGATATGGAAACAAAATGAAATGATGCAGCAATAATCCCCCTTCCTCCCCAAGCAATGACCCGTGGCAGAATAGAAACAACAGCCCCCCCATCGGGGACACCAGCTGACTGTAACCTACTTGAGGGATTAAGATACAATCACCTTGCCTCCCCCTTCTCCTTGAATATGAGGCCGGATTCCAAGAAAATACTTGTCGTAATAAATGAAATTTCAAATGAAAAAAAAGTAACAATGTGGTTCATATCAGGGCCGGATTAGCCGAAAGTAAAGAAGGGTATTATCTCCCGGGGCAGATTATTAACAGCGTGTGAGTTATGCGGACGATTCAGCAGCGGAGGAGCACACGCAGGAAGCTAATCATTACCATCCGACACCCTGATTAAGGAAGTGGGCCTTGGTGGAGACGGGGACATTTATTCAAAGCCCTCTTAGAGGTGACATGGCGCTCTGTCTGCCCGCTGAATGGCCTACAGCCGCGGCTTCATGTAATCATGTTCCCGTCACAATGGACGATTTATCAGGGGGTGTTTTACATTCATGGATGGCAGGGTGAAGAAAGAGACAGCCTATGATTAAGTCAAATAACATGTGGACCGCACTGTCAGCACGCTTTGATGTCATTTTGAAGTACTGATGATTTGTCCGACATCTATAAAGAAGGAATTATGTACGAAAGATGCGTCCACATGTGGATTTACATTATTTACCGATTATAATGTAGTCACCATTGAATAGTACCATAAAAAACCACTTCCTCCCTCAAGAGATCCTGCAACAGACATGTGCGCACGTTAGTTTGTCGAGTAAGGTCAACAGGGTCACAGAACTCTCACATACTGTAGACAGCAATTTCTATTCAATTCAATGTACTCTGACCAAGGTTCGGATCAGGGATGCGGTGTCAAGGGTGTAAAGGAAAGTTTATTTAGGAAAGGATTACGGCGGTGCACTTCTTCTAGGTTACGAATGTTTTTTTGTTAAAGCAACTTCATTTGTCACACTGAGTACATTGGTGTACACTTCAAGTAAAGATTCCTATTCAAAAGAGAATGACCTTATAAGGACTTTTTCAATTAATCCAAAGTGTCTAATTCAATAGCATTCAATGTAATGGATGGCCGAATGGTTGGTAGTTTATCATTCTTGGATTAGATTATAATATAATGTTGCTGATGCAAGGAATTGTGGGACGCCATATTTTTTTCTTTTCATGAATAATGGTACATCTTCTACCAGCTCTTACCATGGCTGCCACTTTTGGGTGGTCAAACATTTTCCTTTCCTTTTTCTGAAGTAATCATTTCTACATTTGAAGGTATGACAGTTTAAATCCATTCTGCCATTTTATGGGGAGTCATCTTTCTGTCCAACCCACCCATCGCTGTCCCAAATGTTCTTTTAAGTGCTTGTGTCCAGATGCCGTCTGCTCGCTGAGAGACAAATTGCCACCCCTGCCGTCCATCCGGGCAAGGGCACTAACTCTTCTGGCGGCATGACAAGCCGACATCGTGCGGTCGTTCATTAATGTGCGACAGTCCCGGGCCACCGCCCCACACCTCCTACCCGCTTCTCTCCAGTACCCCCACCTCCGCGCTTCGATCTTTCCATCAGGTCGGGAGATCTACAGCCGACCGTCCGACACTACAACCCCCCCCTCGGCCCAATTCCCTCACCCTCGACACGGCTGTGAATTACGAGGTAGTCATAAAAGCTATTGTCCTGCATCAAAAAGGGGGGAGGTGGGATATAAAGGGCAGTGAGAGAGGGCATTATGAGACCAACATGAGGTGGAGAGAGACGGGGTTATTGCTAAGGCTTTTAATTAAGATTAGAACTAATAATTAAAGCAATAATTTTATATAGAAGGATAAATCTTTTGTGGTACAGTACCGAATGCCGAAGCAAATCGATGACTTGTCGATAAAAGCCTTTTGAGTCGCAGCTCTAAACACAGGCTTTTGGTCAACTACTTCTTGTCTAATGTGGTACATTTGCTGTATTTGGTAGTTATGGTTGGTCAAAACAAATGTCTTGAAAAATGATAGATGTTACAGGTGCCTTAAGTGACCTTCTTGGACTTCAGGAGGGTATGCTTTTGGTGCAGACTTCTCCAGGCTTCGGGGAACTAGTGGGAAACCTTGAAACATACTAGGCTTTGTTTGTGGTTCTAAAAGCATGTTTGTTGGTGTCTTTGCCTTAGCCTTATTAGCCGTGTTCTAGCTCTAATAGTGCTTGAGATCATTTGTGCTTTCAGTGACTCTACAGTGCCACAAGGAACTGTTTTTGTTCATGTAATCCCTGTTGACAAAAGAGAAAAAGAGCTGAAGAGCCACTTATTGTACCCTTGCTCATTAAATAGAGAGTATGCTTTAATGAACCTTGTAGCCTTTAAATTGGACTGATATCACACAAAAGAAAGCTCCTATCCTCTCTTTTGATGGTAATTTCCGCCGGGTCTTCTGCTGGGCGACACAGTTCCAAGCGATGCCGTTTAATGCTTGCATGTGGCTTCTGAGGGCGCCCCCACCATATGCTCAGGTCATGTTTGGATCAAGACTTTCTGGTGGAGTGTTTTGCTACATCTCTCTTGGCAGTGACTCAAAGTGTCTTGCTGTGTCGGAGGAAAAAACTCTCACTGAGAGAAAGTTGACGTGTCATGTTGAATCAGAGATTAGGTTTGATGTGGAACTGTGCCGTGAGGTGATCACCAGAGGAGAATATGATTGGGAGGTCATAAAAAGCTGAATAAATCAACGAATGAATGACTTCATTTAATATCTTTATTCCACGTCATCTAGTCCTATCATTGCCACCACTTTGGACTCGGTCCATGTGTCCCATGGTGCATTTTACTTTGCATTGTGAAACTTTAAAAAGGATATTAAATGATGCTTTAATGCTAAAACTAATTTACAGTAAACAAATAAATTGATTCAGTTTAAAACTAACCTCACGTGCCCATGACTAACAGCAAGTCATATCATGTCAATATAGCAATGTATTTAACACATCAATAAATATGTTTTAACTTGTCTATTGTCTCAATTGTTCATTCAAAGTCTTCTTCAATACAGCATGATGTTCATTTTCAAAATGATGGGCCCATTTAGAATAAATTAGACAATAAAGAAGGGGTGGATTTAGGGCATGGGTACCTTTTGATTGCTGCCACAATATTGTTCAGTTTGGCCTGTGTTTTTTGTCTTACAACTTGAAGGGTTTTTTGTGGTTTATTCATTTAGTATTTTCTTCTGGTTTTCTATTATTCCTTTCTGTAACACAAATGAGTTACTCAAAAACAACTCAAAAAAGCTTTTATGTTGATAAATGAACCAATTAGGACAAAACCCTGGTCTGAAATGTATTATTAAAACTCCATAATGTTGGGGAAAAGCATTAGGAAGTAACCTTTTCACATCCTTTGCATTCATTTAATATATTATATTATTCACTTGAGTACTATACTTTCATCCATAGAAGCAAACATTAAGGGAAATTAAGGACTTATTTGTTATTATTGACGTAGGAAGCACCAATACTCCTGTGACTCTTGAATAATTACGTGGAGACTTTGGCTGTAGATGTCTTTTAAAAACCCAAGGTCGAGAGAGGGCAATATGGTATAAGATTTCTTTGGCATTTTTATTTGTATTGTGCGAAACACGCATTTAGCATTGGGAACAGGCCAATCAGTGCACAGATTGTAAAGGAAGTAAAAATGATCCCTGTGCCAAGTAGCCTTTGCGAGCCAATTAAGTTAATTTTACTGTCTTTCAGCAGAGCGAACAGCCCCTAGTTTGAAGTAGTTTCCAGGCAATGATGGCCCCAGCACCAATCAGTGTCCATAGCACTATAGGGAGCCCGCTGATGAGCTTCCATCAGTGCTGCTAGCCACTTGTCCCACATCTCTTTCTCTCCCTAATTATGCTGATGAATAAGGCCGTAATAGTGATCCGTCCTCTGCTGATGAGTCCATACTTTCGCCGTTATTGTCTTGTCTTGGGGGCGGGCGTGTCACATATCACACAACTCAAGTGGAGTGCGTTTGGGCCATCAGCGCTGCTCTTTTTTTTTTATTAGGATCATCTCTCTATCCTTGTCGTCCTCCACCTCTCAGACCCACCCATCCCCCTCCCGACGCAAAATGTACTTTTTCACTTGGGTGATGGGTCGACTTGCTGAG